TTGGACAGCCTTAGCAAGAGACCAGAATGCACGGGTTACCGAAGCAAGGCGAACTAGCCTCTCACCAACTCCGCCGATGTGCTCTGACCTTGCCTTGGCAATTAATTTTGAAGAACCTGGAGGCGGAATTATACTTCTTTTGAAGAGCGCTGATGTTTACATCTCGATACATCAACGTCTCGGAATGTAAAGATTTAGTTTCGCCCAGTGCTAGTAGCACTCTTGCTTATAGTGTGATGCTATTTTACATGAGCGACCAAACTATGGCTGGAATCTGCCTCCGTTGGGCACCACAGAAGATGGAATAAAAAGTTCCATATCCTCAAGTACCATATCAGTGACTAAACCAGCAACATTGCTGGGATTGTCCAGCGAGAAGCAAATTCGCCCTCAAGGGTAGAATGCAAAAAAAGACCGCATCCTTTCCCAATCGGCCGATCTATAGTGCCAAACACGGCGGCTGCCTGCAGAATGCAACCGCGAAGATAGTGTGAGTGACACCACCCTCCGGACAAGACAATGGCCCTAGGAGCCTGAAACCTGATATCCGTCCGGATAAGAGGTCAGCAGAAGTTCCAACAGGGAAGGCGCATGATCCTCCACATCTGCAAACCACGTAGGCAAAGTAACCAGCTGTGCAACCATATGCCAAGGCAAAGTCATAAACAAATTTCCCCACATGATCGGTTAAATGTGAACCCAGCCATTCGGCGTGATGGTCGTTAAAATCGCCAAGGATCACGATCTTTGCGGATACCCCCCTCCCGCCCACTCCCCTGTATACCAGAATACGCAGGGCAGCTTGAGCACACATGCTCAGGAACAGTAGGGTAGCTTGGGCGTGGGTGCTCAGCGAAGGATTCTCCGTCACCAGGATTCTGGTACCCTCCTGGGGTAGTTTTTTATTTGATGCCGCTACCATACTTTACGGGGTGGAGGGGGGAATTGGGCCTCCGACCACCTACACCTACTAAGCGAAACGCAGAAGTAAACTTCTACTTCACGCTGGTACTCTGTGAGGTCGTGGTACTACCCTGGTTCGAGCTGGCCCATCGATGCGATAGCAAAATCTGCCGCGTGGCTCTATCACTGTTAAAACGTAAACATGGAACAAATTATATTTACTTTTTTTCTGCCCATCATAAATAAACAACATACACAAGAATAAATTATTTTCTTCATTATGAGACAAGTCCGGTCTTAACGAATAAAACAAACACAATAACTGCCTTTCATTCTTCAAAACTTCTCCAATACTTTCAATTTTTCGTAAACGCCAAACTCCCACTACACACCCTGATCGCGACAAAAACAATGTATCGCTTAAAGGCGATAAGTGTACCCGCATGCGGCGATGCCGCATAAGCACCTCGCAACGTGAATCTACCTGTCCTATTCATAACTGCCTTTACATTTTACGGTATTAACCGGTTAATTTGGGTGTCGAAACCGTTAAGTAACCGGTAACCTTTATCGTTTAGGTTTAATAAAAACCGGTTAATTTTTTAACCGGTAATTGAAGGAGCGATAATTTTACCGGTAATTAATCGAAATTAACCGCTCTTTTTAAACCGGTTCCGAGCCCTGCCCGAAACACAGAATACTTTACTCCTAGCGGAGAACCCGAAACGTCGGGAATTAATAAAAAAAAGTTAAATAAATGCGATAGAATCCGTAAAATTAGTTTTATTCACTGTGTAATGTTCGCTTAAATATAAGAAATCATTAGCATTGATAGTATTTTTCTTAATAATTTAAAATATAAAATATTGCATAATAATATATAACGCGAATAAAACATGTTTATTTTTCTGAACTTCAGTTATTTTGTAAGACCATCTGGGCACCACCCCTTTATTTATATTTGCCAACAAGTAGTAGTGTACCATACACTGCTACTTGTTTCTATATAAAAAACAGACTACGAGACATTTCATCTTAGCTTCTCGGAGATCTGTTTAGTTGCAACACAATTAATTTGGGGTGTATATCATTTTTAATTCTTTTATAAAATATGTGATTCCATAAATGTAGACGCGTAATAAATCTAAGCATGAAATATCAAAATAAAAGGCTTCACTCTATAACTGACGGATCATATACCTAGTCAGGTCATAAATTCTGTCACATGTTTAATATAAAATAATTGAAACAAATTTATTCATTATGTAAACATTTATATACCAAAATAAACTTAACAAAACATCGATTCTTATGACACTAAAGTTTGTTCAAAATGACCTCCGTGATTTATAGGCCTTCAATCTGCGCGGCCAGTCGTCTATCGCAGCACGAACGAGGTCCATGTCAATATCGGCGGCTGCCTTAATCAAGGATGTCTTGAGTGACTCAAAATTGGGATGAGGCTTTAAGCACGCCTTTTCCTCCAAGTGTTGCCACATCTTGTAATCTAACGGATTCAAATCTGGACTGGAGGAGGGCCAGTCTTCGTGCCGGATGAAGTCGATTTCACGCGCCGCCAGCCAGTCTTGTGTGCTCTTCGCTCTATGAGCTGGCGCCAAATCTTTTTGGAATACCCAGTGCCTGTTATTGAATATGGTATGAGAAACAGGTTCCACAAGGTTCGTCAGGACTGTATTTTGATACACAACTGCATTCGTTTTTACACCTTTCTCACAAAAATGTACCTCTGTTAAGCCCCAATAAGAAACTCCCAACCATACCATGAGCGAGGATGGAAAGTGACCTCGTTGGACACGCGGAATACGATTGCTTGCTTCTTCACTACTGTGTGCGTACACCTTATCATTTTGTTTGTTGTAGCTCTCTTCTACGGTAAAATTTTTTTCATCCGAAAAAAGAATTTCCCGATATTTTTTTCCCGCGTACCGCTTCAACAAAGCGCGGCATCTCTTCAGTCTCAGGTCCAATACATGAGTATTTAAACGATGTCCTGTTTTTCTTCAATATGTCCGAAGCCCTAAGTCTTCATTTAATACCCTTTTCACCGTGGTTCTGCTTAACCCCATCTGAAGGGCCAACAGTTTCTGCTTACGTTTGGGATTTCTTTGAATTCGCGCCTTCACAGCTTTTATCACTGCTGGAGTCCTAACAGACCGAGGGCGACCACTTCTTGACCTGTCATCTACACTAGAGTCTTATTGTATCGTTTGATGGTACGATAAACGAATCTTTTGGTTATATTCAATTTTTTCAGTATGTCAAAAATTTGAATAGGCGCGTAACCGCAAGGATGCAACGCAATAACTGCAACACGGTCTTCTTTAAGCGTCCACTCCATATTTAAAAATGAGTAAAATTCTAAAAAGTATACAGTTTTATTTTCATGAACAATTCGAATTTCGAATTCAATAAACTTTTTTGTGGCCAGCATTCTAAAAGAAAAGTTTTCCTGTGTGACAATACTTATGACCTGACTAAGTATGTGTACATTTATATATCTATGTATGACAAGATTCCTTTTAATATTACCGCCTTGAAATAATGCAAAATCACATGCCTTCTTAGGCATTTGATGAAGACTTTTATGATTTGCTTATATTAGTTTCAATTGGTAACTGTGGGGAAAAATAGTCTACACGTTAGTTTCTTTCGCTTCTTTTCGCATGGTCTCCCTGTTAGCTTTGACTGTGACTTTCGAAAAGTGCTGAATAAAGGCAAATATTTCAAATAAAAAGATTTTGACTTTGACACGTCTTCAATGCTTACGTAATAACTAAAAAGAGCAATCACAAAGTATAATGTTAAATATAAAGAGAGATACGCTCAATGGTACTTTGTGTTTATTCAGGCAAATAATGAAATATTATAATTCTATATATGCATAGGTAATACTACTCTTACTCTATAACGGACCTATATATTAGATTGGAATATCGGACGATGAATCAATACAGGGTTATTTTTCAAAGAGTATCCAAATTTTATATTTAAGTTTCTTTCGTGGTAGAGCCATGCTGCAGCTATATTATGGTTGTAGCACGAATGGGTCGGCTCGACCGGAGAAGTGACCACGTAGAAGTGGGACCACGCTCTCACAGAATACCAGCGTAAAATAGCAGCTTTACGCTGCTGTATTTCGTATGGTGATTGTTGAGAACCGGAGACCCTTTTTACTGGAAACGAGGCATTCCATCTTAGTCCTCACGGGTGACAATACATCTGCATTTTGATTGGTAATCGAAGAAAGATGTAGATGTCTATGGGCCACACCAACTACTTACCATCAGGTGGACTGTGTGCTCGTTTGTCACCCATATGCTATAAAATAAGTTTAAATACATAAATATTGATATAACCTTATTGCAGTTGAAAATACGAATAAATAAGGCTTCCACTTTTATTTGAAATTATGATAAATTGAATATAATTTTATGGGCAACAACTATGCGTACGCGATTCAATTAACAATATTTTTGCCGACCGAGTGAATTTTGCGAATGCTTGCATGCGAAGTAAAATAGCATTAGGTGTTAGATATTTATGAATGACAATCAGTTAAAATAATGCATTACCACGACTTTGAATGAATTTTATAGAATATAAATAAATAAAATGGACAGAATCTCCCAGGGTTGGCTGGCAAATAATGCCATAATACATTAAACCCATTCTTTGTAACATCCGAGGTAATTACAAAAGGGAATAAATTAAAAGATAATAATGTCATAAAACTCGAACAGATGGGAGTAAAACACAAACTAGTTTCTAAGACATACTTTTAGTGAAGTTGTAACATTAGGTTGATTACATTTTTATTTTATTCCCTTTTTTATTGTAACAGAAATATGTTCGACCACTGTTCGGTTATATAAATCACCGACAAAATAATAGCTCTGAGACCGTGGTAACACTGCTACAGCATCATGCTTATCTGGCTTAGCCTTATTGTTGCTGAAACCCAATGTATTTGTGTATATTGTTTTTATTTTTGTTTGCTTGTTGTATTTTTGTGACGAATAAATAATTCATTAAATCAATTAATTTGGAAGGTAATTAAAAAATTTAGTAACTCTTACAGAATTCACAGAGAATGTCTTTCGATGACCATAAATATCTTCAGCTGCAACAGATACAATACAGGTGCCACAGGTTCCCTGTTTGCACATGTACTTAGTACCTCGTAGGTTCAGAAAATTACGGATGTAGTCGTTTATTGTTACGTCAGAGTCCACCTCGCTGCCCACTAAAATATAAAATTGTACCCTCAGTATTATCTTCAATCAATTCATTATTATAACTTATTTCGAAACATTGACATTTTCTATGTATTCTTCTTCTTCACCAGCTCATTTGGTTTGATTTATTCAACTCGATTTTCAGGCGGATTGGTGAACGCTGATCGCAATATTTCGCAATTTTTACAATGCTCCACGTCACTTTTATTGAAGTTATTAACAAATTCCAAATATATGGACCAAATGACTAATTTTCACATTATGTGAGGGTTTAGTGCCAAAAAAAGAAAACCATGTAGTTGGCGCTGTAGTCGGGTTATTAATAAATAATTATGCTCATACTGTATGAAGTTCTGTGGTAATGCAGAGTGAAACTCTTCATACCATCTACCGGAATGGGCAGAACAACATCTGCCCAGCCAGTTAATGATAATAAAAAATCGTTGCCACAATTACATTAATTACAATGTTAATAAATACAGACTGATTATTTACCATTAAGGTAGTCGTAAAAATTATGGGTTAGGTAATTATGTTATGCAGAACTGATCAAATGCACGAAATATAAAGTTACTCAGATTTGTAAGATAAATGCATTTTCTTGTGGCAGAAGCCCTATTGCAATTTGTTAAAAGCTATTCCCCGGCGACTTTTCCCGCATGAAATTTATTACGACTGGATGTCATGGGTTGTGAGTTTTTAACTGTTTTGCGCGAATCATTATTTTTTTTGTAAATAAAATTTGCCTAAATTACTCCTTATAACTTCAGCTATCTGCCAGTGAAAGCCATTACGGAGTTTAGCCGTAACAGAGAGACAGACAGACAGACAAAAAATTCAAAAGATATGTTAGAAAAAGACACTTCAATTTTATTTATTTGTATATAGGACTACTTGTTAATTCGCAGATGACTTTCACACCAATAAATTAAAAAAAAGAGCCTATGGATTACTATTATTACTTACTTTATTACTCAGGGCCTGCCGTTTCGTGATAAGAAAGCCGTTAATGTACATTTATTCAAAATGTCTGGACAGTGCTATTTTTCCCGATAGATAGAAAACAACAAGGGTCATTCCTGTTCCAAAGGGAAATGCAGGATCGCAGGTGGACGAATATCGACCTGTTGCCGTGCTTTCATCAGTAGCTAAAGTATTTGAGTCGGCCATGTACGATAAAATATTCGTGCAGGTGAATCAGCAGCTCTCGGAAGCACAGCACTGGTTTCGGCCAATGAGAAGCACCACTAGCAACCTTCTTAGCTACATGGCTGAAGTTGTGCCCGGAGTGGATAGGGGGGTGCAAGTCGACGCCGCTTACTTTGACTTTAAAAAAGCGTTTGACTTAGTGGATAACGACGTCTTGCTAAAAAAATTAGCGGCAGTTGACTTCACTCCACATTTGTTAAAATTATTTGCCAGCTATATGACAGGTAGAAAGCAATATGTGGAATATGCCGGCCATACGTCGGAAACATATGTAACAAAATCTGGAGTAAGCCAAGGCAGTAATTTAGGGCCACTTCAGTTTTTGTTACTGATTAACGATTTGCCTGAGGTAGTTAAGGAATCTAAGTGCCTTCTTTTTGCTGATGACCTCAAGTTGTATCATGTCGTAGAAACGTGGGCAGACTGTGAAAAGCTACAACAGGACGTAAACAGAGTGGTGGAATGGAGCAAGAATAGCCATTTACAGTTTAACGACTCCAAATGTGTAACCATTTCATTTACTAGAAAGCGCAAGCCCATTGTATATAACTATGTGGATGGTTTGCAAATTGTAAGAGTTCACGAAGTTAAAGATCTAGGCGTTCTACTAAATAGTGAAGTAACATTTAGGGAACACATTATCTATTGCTGCAAAAAAGCGTATAGAAACTTGGGCTTCATTCTTCGCACAGTTCACGGCTTCACGAACATTAAGGTAATCATCACTCTGTATAACACGCTGGTAAGGAGTAATCTGGAGTATAACGCCTTAATATGGTCACCGCACGAAAATGGGTATAGTGCAATGCTGGAACGAGTGCAAAATAAATTTATAAGATACTTATATGTGCGCTATTATGGAATCTACCCTATGTATCCATTAATGTACCCAACTTTATTTATTCTGGGTATGGTTGGCTACAACGAGTTGAGGGTAAGACGAGACCTAGCATTTGCCTTATATATTTTTAAAATACTTAGAGGAAAAATATATAATAGTGACATATTGGGGCAAATTGGGCTGTGTGTTCCAGATGGGTACGTATGGAAACGGCGGCGGCCGCGGCTGCTGTCTGTGCCGCGAGCCCGTACCAATTTACTCGATAAGGCGCCTTTAACGCGAACGTTACGCATTCTTAATAGAATGGCTGAAGGCATTGACCTATTCTATTGCACCTTGAGTGAATTTACTAGGGTAGGATTGTTTACAATATGTTATAGTTAATGACCACATTTTTGTTATGCATGATAAGTACTACACTGTCGCATTAGGTTTTCTTCCTGTTATGATAGTTGTTAGTTGAAATAAATAAATAAATAAAATAAAATTATGGCCAATTTGTGAATTGGATCATTTCTATATTACACGGTCTAAATGTCTTCAGAATAATAAAATAAACCCAGAAAGATTAAAAAAAAATTGAATCATAAACACGCTTTAACTATTTATTGCTTAGTTATGTCCTCCAGAGCGATTTCGGTCACGGCGCCAGAGACTAGCCATCTCCGCAGGACAGGATTATAGTGCCCAGGCGTATGCGCAAACACAGGTGCACTTACTCTCTATTCCCTTACTCTCATAGACCGATGGTTCGGTATACTCGTACCAACATGACCGGAGAGAAATCCGGGTCGGGATTAACGGCTTTACGTGCTTTCCTAGGCACGTGGATGAGGAAACACAGCCAACTTCCTGACTCCGGGCAGCTACTGAGAATTATTTGACAGAAAAAGTCAATAACAGTTCTTTTTGGTACGTCCCGGGATTCAAACCCGTGATCTCATGATCAGTAGTCGCGTTAACGACCACTGGACCAGCGAGACAGTCAATTATACCAACAAACATTTAAATTTACATTATTGTGGAAAAGGAAAGAGATATGTGGAACCTAGAGCCGTGGTAGCTCAGATGGTTAGCGTTCGCTGTAAGTTTCACAGTACGCGAGAAACCCGGGTTCGATCCCCGCCGGCACCAATGAAATTGTTAATTGCAATTTTAAGTGCTGATTTACCACGTGCTCGGCAGTGAAGGAAAACATCGTGAGGAAACCTGCATGTCTGAGAAATAAGAAAAAAATATATTTCGAAGACTTAAATTATTAATATTGTGAAGTTCGCTAACACGGCAGCGTGGCGGACCTTTCCTTGTCCTAAAACCAGTGCAGTGGGACGTGTATATAGGCTGTAACTTAATGTGGAACCTATATCTTTCCTTTGATACATTACATACATGCAAGCAATATCTTCATAAATATCACTACTAAACTTGGGACTTCGGAATTTTATGGACATCCACCGTAATCCAATATAGTAGAACAATATATTAGTCTTTGACGCCGCTTCCCGTCACCAATCTCGCATTTTATGCATTAAATTAGAATTTAAATTACGAATTATTTGTACTTACCAGAATATTTTTCGCCGTTAACTGTAAACTCAATCCTGTCCATTATTAACTTTGAATGTGTTTGTTAAAAACACGACCGAATTTCGGAATGATCTATATGAATTTATTTTTAAATTTTGAATTATTACTTATTTATAACTTCGTAAAGAACACGTTTAATTATATACTCTTCATCCGCACTCAAACAGCAAACTAGTGTACTGTGTATTACTTAATAGAGTTCAATTATAGTTGGATGTAATTCTAATTGTTACTAATTTACTAAAATTATTTGCAACGTTCTGTAAGTACGGGTGGTATGTATGTGTAGTGCAACTCTCCCTTCTAAACTGCGTTGGATTTTTCCACTTAATTAAACAGGCAACAGTAAAGGCAACGCGATGCTTGCGGATTAACTGTGTTTTGTAATGAAACGCATGAATGCTTTTCATAGCTATTAAATACTAGTGTTGTAAAATAATTACAAAATGTGCATCTGAATTCATTACTTAGGATGTGTTGTACTAGACGGTGTAACATTTTACGGCTCCATCAAAAAGTCAAAATTTCAATCTTCATATCGCTACTAAGCTATTTATTATGTACAACACAATACATCATTATAATTTTTTTTTAATTCCACTGAGTTTTTTGCGTACTCCATGCATCTAAGTATTCTTGGATTTACCATTGCAAGACTTTAAGATACTGTTAGCTTATTCTAGGTGGAACGGACAAAAAACAAATTATATTCCAAGACTGAAGGTAACCCTGGTTAACTATAACATCAGTATGTCTAGCACCTCAGTCTCCCCGTGACCATCATCAGGAGCGAAAATAAACAGAAATACGTCAAATTAAATGCAATAAAAATCGTAAAATTAATGTTATTAATTTTTAAAGTGAAAAACCCGCAACCAGCAGGTGTCTATTAAATGTAGTAGCCACTTACCATCAGGTAGACTGTAGGATCGTTTGTCACTTTATTTTCATATCACGAATCTTCTTCGGCGGCTTGAAGTATGTTTTAACGAAAGCACGCTTCAAGATGTAGCCAATCTTGTCAGTGACACCTCTGGCATATGTCAGTACAGCAGGCACTCGCTCGACTGTGACGAAGAAGATTAGGCAGTCTTTACCATCAGTCAAGTGTAATGTCCCTCTACAACAAGTTGATAGTACAAGCTTGATTGTAAATGTAGTCTCTCTTATATAGGACAAACTAAAATATCCATAAACACCCGCGTTAAAGAACACATAGCTGATGTGAAGAATCGACGCTCCGGGAAGTCTGCAGTCTGTGAACACGTACAGGATCGCCCCAGTCACTACATTAGATTTGATAGACCACAAATACTCGCTAAAGAACACAGATTCCTTCCAAGGATGATTCGCGAGCAAAATAAAATAAAAAAAACATCCTAATTTCAATAGAGAATATGCCTGGGTGCTGCCATCTGCTTGGGATCCCATAATTAATAAAATTAAATCCCAACCCAAGCATACAACTGTAAGACTTTAAGATACTGTAAGTTCATGCTGCGTAGATCGGAACAAAAATTAATAATTTTTAATCTGGACGTAGCCGTGGTTAACTACGACATTGGGACGTCATACACCTCAGTCTCCCCCGTGACGATGGGTGCTGTATAGTGCTCGAAACTTCGGCAATATAAAATAAGTTAATATACGCGATAAAATCCGTAAAATCAGTTTTATTTAAATATCGTTTTAAATTTGGAAGAGTTATATTGTTTAATTAGGAATGATAATACATGCGTTTAAATTGAACGATATATAACTTTCAAATAAATTGTCGCTGCGATACGTGCGCCACCTGCTGTAAGTTAAATGTACTATGCCTATAACCTTCGCGCAAGTGCAAGCAATAAGTTGACGAAGTTTTGCCGCAACCTGATAACCGGTATGGCAGCGCATAAAATACGAATAAATGAACATTAATTTTTATATATTAGATCACGTTGATTATATTCTGCCAGTATCTTTGTCCAAAACTTACAAACACAAAAACATTTTTATAGAAAAAGAATGACAAACGAACACACAACATTCCACTTGATGGTAAATATATGCTGTTGCCCATAGATATCTTCATGGAAGCGTTATCACCTCCGAGGAATAAGATGGAATGCCTCATTTTCATGTATTCTTAAAGACTAATATAGAATGTCTTGTTTCCAAAAAAAAGGTCGCTGGTTCTTGTCTTCCCTAAGGACTAAAATAAAGTACCTAGTTTTCTGTAAAAAGTCTCCGGTTCTCTGCACTCACCATAAGAAACACAGCAGCATTAAACTGCTATTTCATTCTGGCATTTTGTAGTGTGTCAAAGTGTGGTTCTTCTCCGGTTAAGCCAACCTATCCGTACTGCAACGTAATTATAACTATACTATATTTACTATATAATATAGTATTCTTATTATATAGTAAAATATAGTAGTAATATAGTAATATTATTATAATAAATATATAATATTTTGGTACGCGATGTGGCCATTCTGCAAATGTCTCTATCGCGTACAAAAGTCGCTTCCCGCCGTCTGTACGCTTATATATTTGAAGCCCGAAATATATTTCGATGCTATTTTTATTACTAAACAGAATGATTTAAGAAAAAAGGTACGTATATTTATGTCATGTACTTTATATTTTGTATTATTCTCCCGTCTGAGTGTATGTGATTGAACTCCTCCTAAACGGCTGGATCGATTTCAATGAAATCTTGTATGTGTGATTATGTTCATTAGAAAATGGTTTAGATTAATAATTGGAACCTGTAGGCGGCTTTTTCGATGAGATCCAGAAATCAGCCGTGTAAATCCAGTTAAAAATATAATAGTAATCACCGTTATCGTTACGCTTGGTAGATCAATTAACGGACGCAACTAGTGTAGAGAACTAGAAATGTCATGTACTTTTTACGCCGTTCCCCATCGCCGATCTGAATATTTTACATGCATACATAATATTGTATGGTAATATGAATCGAAGACAATTAGCTGTTACTAGTTATTTTCCATGGTCGCTTCTACTAAACCTATATAACAAAATGAGGTAATAGATTCTCCAGTACGTATTTGACTATTTATATATCATATACCTGTAACATCACACCCACGAGATCTAGGTTCCCTAAATTTCTTCTAACGTCACACTTTTCTGCGTGGTAGAGCTATGCTACGACTTTAATACGACTGTAGCACGAATAGGTTACTTTGGCGAGGGAAGGACCACGCTCTTAAAAAACTCCAGCTTAAAATAGCAGCTTATGCCGCTGTATTTCATATGTTGGTTGTAGGGAAATGAAGAATATTATTACTCTAAAACAGGCATTCCATCTTAGTCTTTTTTTAATAAGTTAGACTGACAAAAGAGCACACAGTCCACCTGATGGTAAGTGGTTAATGTGGTGCATGGACATTTACATCCATCCTCGATTAAACTTCAAAATGTAGATGCGTTGTCACCCGTGAGGACTAAGATAGAATGCCTCTTTTCTAGTAAAAAGGGTCTTCGGTTTTCTACACTCACCATACAAAATACAGCAGTGTTAAGCAGCTATTTTACGCTGGTATTCTGTGAGAGCGTGGTCCTTCCCCGGTCGAGCCGACCCATTCATGCTACAACTATACTACTAATATAACTGCAGCTAACTCTACCACGCTCTCACAATTAACCAGCTAAAGCTGTTACGTATGTTGTAAAAAGTTTAGAGAACCGGTGATCCGTTATACTGAAAACGATGCATTCCATTATAGTCCTCAGAGTTGTCAAAGCATCTACATTTTAATTCTTAATCGAGCACAGATGTAAATTTTAGTGAACCACAGCATCCACTTACCATCTGGTGAACTATATGCTCATTTGTCACCTTTAATCTATAAAAATGCCACGGGGTCAGAGGTGGTATCTTTTATCACACGGCGTTAATAAATAGCTAACTGTTAACAATTTCCTTGCTCAATCAGGCTTAGCAACACTGACCTCAAATTCAAAATGTAAGCATTTAAGATACACAGCATCGAAACTGCAGCCAAACTTCGTTCGACTGCTTAAACCTCATTACCATACTTACAAACTTTGACTGAGTGCTTACGATGGGTTGCTGTATAGAATTAATTCAACAATGCGTGTTATATGAAACTCGATCAAACTACTTATCATAGCGTATTGTTATTTAATTTATACATGCGATCGTTAGTTGGTGTTGAAAATCCATTGCATATTGTTTATAGTACAAGGGTGACATCAAACCCTTGAACCCCAAAGAAGGGGTACATCTCTGGGGCCTCATGCCCTAGTGAAAGGGGTACAGTGGCTCCAGTGACCCGCCTCAGAAACTAGTACCACGCCACATTGGGTTAGGGAACAACGAGGTGGGCGTGACCCCTGAGAAGGCATGCCACTTAAAGACCGTCTGTTCTCTCTCAAAAGACTAAGATTACGGGTTCCTACGGAACGGCCCCGGTCTTGATGCCCATCATGAGTGGACTGTAACTTTGCGTGAAGTTGGAAATAATACATCGATTTATCTTCGTAATTTCGTCTTAAGAGTGCGGCATTGAAAATTGAAAACTTTCACTAATTTTTCCTATCACTTTCCCTACTATCTTCTATCTTGATTTAAACTGGAAAACTGGTAGCTGGTTCCGAACCGTACCGAACGAATTTCCAAAATACCAGCCTCCTATCCTAGTACGTGAGCTATACGCGAAATAGTACCGCGTGCCGCGCGCCATTTCAACATAATCTGACACTAGTTTTCATATTCACACTATCACATTTTACCCCATATTTTATTTCTAAAAAACATATAATTACATAATTTCATCAGTAAAAAAACATACAAAAGTCTTGTTATTATGATATACATTACATCGCAATCACATAAAGACATAGAATATTCTTATCATTACATCGAATCTATTTACTTTTAACATACATTGCTTTACCATTTGGAATGTTTTTACTTTTAATCGTAAATAATTTTAAGTGTAAATTTACTTATTTTTTATGAAATGGTAAATTATTAAAATTAGTTTTTAA